CGGGGCGGAGGGCGGGCGGAACGGGGGGCGGAGGCGGGCGGACGGGCGGCCGGAACGGGCGGCGGCGGGGCGGGCGGCGGGCGGGCGGGCGGGCGGGCGGACGGGCGGTGGACGGGCGGCGGCGGCCGGCGCGGACGGCGGCGGGCGGGCGGGCGGCGGCGGGCCGGCGGGCGGGCGGGCGGACGGACGGACGGACGACGGAACGGACGGACGGACAGACGGACAGACGACAGCGGTACAGGACGGACCAGACGGACAGACCGGACAGACGACAGCGGACCAGACGGACAGACCGGGACAGACTGAACGGACGGACGGTACGGTACGGACGGACGAGACGGCTATTCTTCGATGGCGCGCCCGTAGACCATTGACCCGCTTCTTCCTGCGTCCGTTCCTTGCAACTCATCGAGTGAGCCAGCGTTTCCGCACTCGCCCACGCTGCGCCCGCCATTCGGGCTGACACCTATTGGCCTCTGCGGTGCGACGCGGAGGGCACTTCCGACCACTTCAAGAATCGCTGGCTTGTTTGTTGACGCAAATTGTTGCTGAGGGTGATCATTGACTTTCAAAACTGCTGGTACCGCTACTCCAAAATCACAGTTACCGAGCATAGAAAAATAAAAAGATTGTTACAAGGCTTGTTTACTTCGTCCTTCTATAGCTTTCGCCACTTCTTGTATTCTCTCTCTAGAGACGGGGCGGGGCGCAGCGGAGCGGAATGGAGCGAGGCGGTGTGGAGCGGGGCGGGGAAGGGAGGTTGTGTGGTTGCGTTTCGGCGCTGAGCGTGCGCAAACAGCTTGAGGGTTCTCAGAGCTGCGCCGTTGAGTATTTGCGCGACTCCGCAACAGATTTTCTCTCTGGAGGACGTCGATTTTGAGTAACACCCACACGATGCCGCTTGAGCAACGCTAATGAAAAGCATAAGCTTCAAATGCGCCCGGACTCACAATTCACGAAAAGAAATGGAGATTGAATGGGTCTTTTCAAAGGTGCGAAAACCTCGCTCATTGGTATCCTTAACTAGTGTTTCTTTTATTAATGAAGCCCACTTCATTTGTACAAACAAGTACGGAAAGCATTTGTGAGAATGTTGTTGTAATTTGTACGTGTTCATTCGCTTAATATTGTGATTATTATAGTTTAAATCTGTTTTATTACAGGCCTTCGATCTCCAGTTGTAGCAATCTATCTATTATAAAGTTATTTCGATTTGATCATACTTTTACACAAATAACCTATTATTTCATTTTGTATATAAATAATGAGAAATATAATTATTTTGTTTTTTGATATTATTATTTTTACAATTGACACGCGTAGCGCGTTGAATGGCAGTAAGGCTGTTGCATAACACTCGCGTTAGCGAAGCACCATGTAAAAAGCTGGGAAATAAAAGGGAAAATTTAATTAAAACACTTTCTTAATAAAATGACAATATTATTTTAAATAGAAATTGAATTATTCGAATAATAAAATATGAATCATTGAAAACTAGAAGTTGTTTGTCATTCAATAACGGATTCATATGTCCATTTCAAATCTTATGTTAATTAATGTTAGCGTGAAATGTGATACTGTTATTCGACGTAGGTAAAACTACAATGAGCGACATATTGTCACATTGATTAACACTGTAAAATAATTGCATATATTATTTAAAATGCAACAGGAACTGCAGCCATTAGTTTCAATTTTTACGATTCTTCAGAACATTTACCTTTCCCAACGTAATTTCATCGATGTGGAAACACACTTGGTCCTTCATAGCGGAGGGACTGAGTCCATAGCGAATTGCAACGCCGTTCGGAGGAGCGAGCTGTTTGCTCGGGAGAGCGTGAAGAGAGCGCTGCACTCACCTTGAAGATTATGTAGTCCAGCCAGGGCACACAGGTGAGTACGATGCCCAGCACCAGAGTCACCACCCCCACCACGATCACCGCCACTCGCCCTGCGACACACAAAAAAACAAAGCGTTATTACACTCTTCTATTAACCGCTCGGAATATACAAATCGCCAAAGACCAAGCTGTACGAGCGCTGTTTTTGCGCAAATTTCAACAAAAAACAATCCATTCAGTGAGATGGACGTTGACTCTTAATAGCTTTACCGTGCAATATAGTACAAGTCATAAAAGTACAGATATTATGACAATAATAATAAACTTGAACTCTGAAAAAAAACATGTTTGAAGCGGCAAACGTGAGTAATAGCTGCTGTTCTACGGTAACTATTACGGATACCGCAACAAACTTGTAAAGTTTTCCTGGATTATGTAATGAAAAAAATACTTCAAATATCATTAGTCATCTTTTTCTTGGTTTTGGAGTTGTGTTGGACGATTCCCTTCATTTAAAATAAAATAAACGTGAAGTAGACTACATTTAAAGATAGAAGCAGAATTTGAAAGGAAAAAAAGTACTGGTATTTCAAGTTAAAAGATTGAACGAAGATTATTGATTACAGAATCACACTTTTAAAGTGAATACGAACTCTTGTAGGTCTTCGCGTTCCAATGACTTTTGTACAAAATATACTATTTAAAACAAATTTGTAATTGAATTATTGGTTAATTTTAATACTTCTCACTGAATTGTTGATTTACAGGGAACCTACGATCTTATTGTATCATGAATAATTTATTACAGAGGAAACCAAAACATAGAGACTAAAACAAATACTACAACTGGCGGAACACCTAATCTTTCCAGCATTCAATGACCTAGCCCGATGAGTTAAATTCTCATAACCTTCGGAATGGGGTTGAGGTTGTGGTGGGGGTGAGACAAATGCCACTTCATTCATCCTGTCCTGAATACAAATGATAATAAGGCGGAGATAATGGACAGTATTAGACGGTAATTGTGACAGTGCAAGATTAAAAATGATAATGATGGTGTTGGTGTCCGGTTGCTTCACGGGTAGTTTGTTATATAAATGAGGGCTGAAATTCATGATGGATTAAATCAGATTCATCAATGTTACCAATTTCCGGGTTGTTTTTGAAACTGATTTCAACACACTATATGCATCTATCAACAATTTGTTTGCGCTATATAGGCCCTACAACAGGGATTTTATATTTTATGACAAAATTGAAAATGCGCTTTCTTGAAATACTATATAACATAGAAACTAAAAACAACTAATGAATTTGACTGACGTAGGTAGTTCCATAAGTTTCCGGCCTGGCCAAGGTAATGATAATCACTGGGAAAACCTTCTGAGTAGTATTTATTCTTATTATTAATTGTTTTAATGCTATAATTTTATAGCTAACATCTCATTTTGTGGAGAGAGATACTTGAGTTTATGCGGCGTGTGAAATTTCATGGTGTTTAGCTTGTTCACAACTCAACTGTGCTTATTGCTGAGATTGCAAAGAATAATATGAAGGATTAAGGCTTCAAGGAGTTGGGCCATTCCCACTACAGTCGAGATTGGACACCCAACGACGTCTACTACTTATCAAAACTGAAGTGAGTCCTTTGGGGAAGCACATTCTGAGATAAGCGTGAAGTAAAATAAGTAGTGTCTGACCATTTTGCGAATAAAATTTCTGAGTATCTTTGCAAAGGTTTAGACATGTTAAAACACACGTTGAAAGTGGGTTGAAATGAAGGATGATAAAGTTGAAAAATTGAATAATAATTTTTCTTTCTATCAAAAGTGGAAGTTAGTGCGACCAGAAACTTACAGAACCTACTAGTGTGCCTCAGCCTCCAAATGCAGATGTGGATGCGAATGATCAATCTTTCTGTGCCTTGCAGTGTGGCCACTGCCGGGAAGAAACCGCTGCCCTGATGCGGCAATGGCTCTCTGCTTGCGATTCCACTCTCCCGCCCGAGGCCGCAGCCCTTCTCCTCACCTCACGACTCTCAAACATCGCTTGTCTGCGAAACGGCTCCACCATCTGCAATGCTCCCCAAAAGAACCAAATCGGCAGCATCCAACATTAGGCAGATCGTAATTCTTAATGAAAGCGGTTTAGGCCCAAGATGCCTCCCACAGTTATTTAATAAGGAAAATGTCTATCCCCGTTATCTGAAATCCTGTTCTGATCGGGACCCACGCCTCTGGTGGCCCTGACGTCACGGACAGTCCCGGGGGAAGGGGGGCCGGGAAGGATCAATTTGCCAACGGGTCGCCGCAGCGGGCACTCTGGGCGGAGGAAATGAGGAAAATAAAAGGCGGGCGTGCGTGGAATGGAGGGGAAGGAAGGGGGAGAGGATGGGTGGGTTTGGAAGTAGCGCCATTGGGTTAGGGCCTCTCAGCACGCGCGCTAACCTGTCCCCCCTACTCGCTAGAGGCCAGCGCTGAGCTCGTCTCTTCCAACAGCTTCACGTTTGATCAACTGTGTAGTGCATGCTTTTCCCTCATGAGGTTGCGGTGATCTTTCCACGCTGGATGGCGAGATTCGACGCCAACGCACACTTCGGCTAGCGGGTTTCTTCCAACTCCGTCTGGTGTCCGGGCATGTGTAGTAGTGTAGTGTAGTGTATGTGTAAGCGAGGGGTCAGAATAGGGCAAGATCGCGGACGGAAAGATCGCGAGGGGTTCGTGGTCTGTTTCTTAGGTCACTGCACCGAATTCACCAGGTGGTGATCGGAGAAACAAAAGGAAAAATTACCGATTAGAGCAGCCGGCCCGCGATAATTCATCTCCATATGTCTACTGAATTGGACCAAGTTATCTAGCTAGTGTCGAAAATCCTGCCACCATCCTAAGACCTCCCGGTCAGAGGCCCACACCATTTGATGCCCTGAGCCACCTACGCCGGCGCGTCGCGGCTGGAAAGCGCCAGCGGCTAGGGCTGCGGAGGCTGGCTCTTCGAGCAGAAGCCGCGCGTGCCGCCACGTGCGGCTGCCCTGCCCACACGTCGTTTTTTTTGCGGGCAATGAAAGTTCCCTGCCCGGATTCCACAGCCCGGCGTTCTTCCGAAGGAATGAGCGTTCCCTCGAAATGGGCCACTGGGTCACAGGTCTGGAAGGCGTCTCAAAATTACCTTCTTGCAAAAAGTCGAGCTGACGTCATGAAAAACATTTCGACGACAGTCAGGAGAACTCTTGCGCGATGAGGTATGCGGGACAGCCGAAGCTTCGCGTGAAGCAAAGACACTCGAATATCATTATGAGTCTTATTTTCATTAGAATGTTTATTTTTTACTGATACGTTTTATATTAAATATAGAAAATTAAAGATGCTGTCTGGTATCAACCATTGTTGATACCAGACAACATATTTCATTTACTATACTTAATTATCAGAAGGTATCTACCTCACCAGCGATCTAATTCACGTTTTATCTTATTATTGCCTTCGATATGGACCTCGGTGTACATGGCTCAGTATAATTTACCTGATTCTAAAGGATCATTTTAACGAGGGAAATATAACAACAGTAGAATGATTCTACATATTCTCTTATGGAGGAAAATATGACAGGGAGTTATTGAAGGGAATATGAAAAGACAAATCGACTCAAGTGAACATCGAGTTAATTAATAAATAAGTAAAACAGAATTAATAAAATTAGGTACAAAAAAGGTATGTAGCGTTAACTGGTTCTAATGATCCCGGGCGACAAAAAGCCCTTGGACCAAAGGTCTTCATGCATTTTGTCGCCGCTCGATCATTAGAACTCTTTTAGTGCCTTTGGTCCATTTATTACGCAACTATTATGTTGCTGTCAAATCACACAGACAACAAAAGAGATCAAACAAAAAGTAAGGGCTTCGTCGAAGCCTTCTGTATAATTTTGTGGGTAAATGTTTTTGAACTGCCTGAGAACTGCCTGAATTATTAGAAACGCTTTTGCATTGCAGATGGTGTAAGTCACTGACCTCGGAGCTCCAAGACCAAGAGCTCTTAGCGGGTGCCTTGGGATCATTACACCGAGAGAAATAACTCAGGGCAAAGAAATGACTTCGCAGTCTGGAGGCCCGGGTTCAATTCCAGTATCGACCATCGTGACCGGAGTTATCGTGGTTTTCATCGGTCATCCAGATGAATACTAAGATTGTTCTACTGAAAGGCCACGATCACAAAACCGGCTTCGCTAACCAAATTCATTAACTACGTGAAGCCACGAAGGTTAAGTGAGACATCGCGGGTTCCTGGTTGGGTGATCGTCTGGCAAGCCCGGAATCCAACAATGCTGAGGCCAATTTCTGTTTACTGGTCACATAATGGCTAAATTCAAATCTCTTTCTGCATTAAACAATACAATTTAAGAATTATTATGTGACTTTTTTTAAACTTTTTAATAACCGGGAGATCATTGTATTCCAAAACAATTTATTGGACAAAATTAAAACATTCAAATCCGGTGCGTAACTAGAGAGAACTTTTTGAGCCTCGAGTTTCCGAACGCACCTCACAAGACAACGCCCTAGCGGATTGCTACAGCAGCCCAGCGGATATACCACACACATGACACATGACAATACCACTTATGACATGACATGACAATACCACTTATTAAACAAAAGTAATCGTAGATTGCATTTCATGGATTAGAACTACTTACATTAACTTCCAGTATGTTACTGGTACTTATAATAAATAATTGAGGAAAAGAAGTAAAGATAACTGAATCATAGAAAAATCGTACTTTCGTGATCTGCATCATAACATTTGGATTCATGAAAGAGAACATTATTAAAAACGGTTGTTGAAGACGGATCAACAAATTTGAAAATCATTTTCATAGACACCTGGCGCATTTACCCACCTAGTTACCGACGCGAGACTAACTCCTTATATCCCGAAGTGACGGTCGGCGCAGGGCTCGTGATGTGGGGTACGGTGGCCTTGCCGCTGCCACTCACCGGCTCTCATCAGCTGCGCAAATGAAACTTTCGCGTCGGACACATATTTCCTCATGAACAGAAAACGTCTTAAGACTACGGTTTAGCAGAGCTGCGAATACATGCTGTAAGCCGCGGGAGACTTACGATTTCTTTTTGAAATTGTTTCTACAAGGAAAAGTTAAATAGATCAATTATACGGATGGAATTTAAGAGATCGTTACTTTCTGAGTAATTTATACCTAAAGAAGCAGTAATTAATGCACGTGAGTGACAAGTGATTTGAAGGCAAGTCGACTTTTATTAGCAGAGTGACAAATTTGTAAACGAAGTAGTTTATTTAACTTTCGTTATGAAGGATGGGATGTTAGCAGAAAGAAACATCTTGACTACGCACAGGGCGAGTGGAACTTTTACTACGACGGGGAGGAAGATACATTTGTCATCTAGGAATATAATGGAAATATCCTACGAGTGCAAAAAGACTTCGAAACCTGTTCAACCAGTTCTCTAAGAGATAATGCCATTCCACGAGAGGTAAAAGCAACCTTCATTTACATTCAGGTTTCAGCTACGTAACATGAGGTGCAAGAATCTCATAAAGTGCTAATCCGGATTATTGATGTTCTTGAATTGTAAACTGAAGAGTCGCGAACGTGAACCGATACTCATCAGGTGAAAGTATCGGTAGATTACCTAGGTTATGAATGTAAACGGTAGCAGATAAATCGATCAGTTCAGAATAGGATTCGAACTCTTATGTTAGGATATTTTTTTGATAAATTATTTGGCTGTATTAAACTTTAATTACTATTCTCGTGACTGTAGTTTATTAACACTGATACGCTGTAGAAGAATAAATGAGAAGTTTATTTTTCTGGTGGCTTTTGCCTAAAGGCGAAGTATAATCATTAAAACTTATTGAAGATGTTTATGAACCATTACGTTGATAGTTTTGTTTCGTAATAGGAAATAACTAAAATTATTTAGTGAAGTGAAGACAAAACCAATTTCGCACTGAGATATATGCAATGCAGAGTTTAGTACCAGGCGGGAATATGGCAGGAAGGGTCAATGGGGAGGAACTGTCAATAAAATTCGAAACACCGCTCGCTCTCCTCTTATTATGGTGTGGAAGAACGCGCGGAAGTGTTCAAGGTGGTCTCCTGTCCTCGCCGTTGTCTCGGAAGTGCGTTTTGTGCAGGTCAGACTCATGGCAAAAGGATGTTGACACACTTCAGTCGGTGTGATATTCAATATCATCTGAACTCAAAATATCACTCTGCGCCACAGTTTTCATATTATCCCATTGGAAAGTCAGGTACTTCCACTATCCTGTATTTTCATTTATACACCACAGACACCGGCATAATGACTTACGTATACTCCCAGCTTCCATACTTAAGGCTAAAATGACACTTGTTACGATTTTTACACTGTTTTGGTACATAATTGTGCATATTCTCACCACCTGTAGCGATATTAAAGATATTTCATGTGACGCTAGTAGGCTTTATTCCTGGCGTGTGTACTGTGCTTGACGGAACGAGTCCTTTTGCTGTGCGCATGCGCGCGTTCGCAAAACCTCACGAACTTCTATACGATTTTAGAGTTATAAACAGGTTTTATAATTGAATATTTACATGCGTTAGCCTGTGAGTCTGGTGGCAGAAGGTTGAGAAATACAAAATTTATTCGAGAGTTGAAGGAGAAACAAAATGTAGCTAATGCATCATATGAGAAATAAATTAAACTTATTTGCAGTAAGCTTTATTGTTAATGAAAAAAGGTGAAGGAGGATGAAATAATGCTTTGGAAGTTTTCGTTTGATTATGTTTTGGTGTTGGTTATGTTTTCCTAGCCGGAAATGGAATGCAGGTGGTATATGATTAATGTAGAAATAAAATTTATTGGAGTAACATTTAGTGGAGAAAAAACAGGTTGAAGTTGTTCAAGATAATAAAATAAATTGTCTTTCAAGTGATAAACCTGTTGAGGTAGGTCAGGGCATCAACTGGTGTCATTGCACATGCCTCTGACAAAAAGGCTCTAGGTTTCGAGTCCCAGTGGTAGGATTTTCGACTCTAGCTAGCTAGCTAGCTAG